GGGAACAAAGGTCTCACGCCTCCCTCCTGTGCTGAAGTGAGTCAGGGTGGTCTTGTCATGGTGGGGGGGCAGCTTTTGTGCTCGGAAGGGCCCCACCTTCCTGACTCGGTGGGAGGGGGGCACTTTTGGTAACCAGGCCAGGCTCTCTCCTCACACAGGCCTGAGGCAGTATTCGGTGTTTTAATTTTTTTCTATTGATTTTTTAAAAACTTTTTTGGAGCAAGAGAGATAGAAACATCGATTTGTTGTTCCAATGTTATTTTTGCATCATTGGTTGATGCTTGTCTGTGCCCTGACCTGGGATTGAACCTGCAACCTTGCCATGTCCGGACGATGCTCTAACCACCTGAGCCATGCGGCCAGGACAGTCTTTGGTGTTTTGATTGTTTCTGCTGCTGAATCAGCTCCCTTCCTTATTCTGGGTCTTTCTGACTAAATTCTCTCTGAAATGTGAAACCATTCCTTGGCTACCTGCCACTGTGGTCCCACCTCCCGGCAGCAACTGACTCTGCTTTCTCTGAGAGCTCAAAGTCCAGCTGGGCCTCCTTGTCCCTCTCAAGACAGTGGCTGTGATGGCACAGAAAGGGGGAGAGAAGGACGACTCTCCTCTCCCGCCTCACCCCTGACTCGACCCAGCTTTGCTGGGGGGCCCTTCAAGCCATTCCCGAGCTCGCTGCCCCCTCCCACGGGCAGCCTCCCAGCATCTGTCTGCACAGCAGGGGACGGGGGCATCAGGACTTTCGTGTCCCTGCTCCTCCGTTGGCAGCTGCCATTGATGGGCGACTCTGCTGGGAAGAGCAGAGGGCAGTGGGGTTAAGTGAATTGTGTGCATGTGTGTGCACGTGCCCACACACGCTGAGCTTCGTGGTGTGGCTTCGTGGCTTTGTCTCATTGAGATTCGTGGCGGTCACCACACAAGGACGGCAGCACAGAGTCCCCGCTCCTGCCCGCGCCACTCCCTGCCACGTCCCACGCCTGCCACCTCTGTTTCACAGGCTGCTGCAGGAATGGGGCAGCCCCAGCATTCCTCAGAGGCCCTTCTGGGGAGGGGTTCTGGGGGCACAGGAGTTTGCTGATGCCAGACGGTGGGCTGTCCAGACGTTGCCCTTGGGGGAGGAGCGTTTAGGTGGAAGGGGGCGTCCCCTCACTGTCGTGTCGCCTCGGTGGCTCTCAGCCAGCCCTGGGTCCCAGATGAAACACTAAAGGTCACTCTTGACTGGGGACCCAGTGCTCTAGACTTTCACGCACAAGTCCCCGGGAAACCTGCCGTCATTTGTCAGGCTGGTTTTACAACTGGAGACACCGAGGCTGGAAGGTTTTCTTTGTCGTGTTTTCCTCCTGAGCAGTCTGGGGGCTTGCGGGAGAGGGTCTCCGGCATTCTGCCCTCCTCCAACTCTAGCGGCCTCACTTCCTGAGGAGGCGGTCACCCCGCAGCACCAAGCACCTTTGGCTGCCTCTTCCTGCAATGCAGCCTCTAAGGGTAGAAACTCCAAATGCTGGTGTTCTCACAGCAGACCAAACGTGGGCACTGGCGCCATGCACGGGCCTGCCCGCCCAGCTGCGGGGGTGTGGTCCCCAGCGTGCGTGGAGCCGGCGGAGGAGCGGGGCGGCTGGTGGGTGGCTCTCGGGTCTGTGCCTCTGGGTGTCTGAGTACAGCAATCCTCCGAGCTGGACGGGTGCTGGCGGGTTTTATGAAGCTCTTTTATAACTCCACTGGGCTGGGGAGATTTGTGTCTACGCTCTGGAATTTGGCAAGCTTCAGGAGAACGCAAGTCTGATTTGATTGCTAATTAAAGTAATTAAAGTAATCAGGGCTCGGTCCCAGTCGGCAGCTTGAAGAAGTGAAGAGAGAAAAGCTTTTCTCGGAGTGACTCACGGCCCAGTGGAAACAGTGTTCTCTAAAACTTAATAGTCTCCCCCCTCAAATAACCTGAAAGGCGCTGAAAACAGGCCGCTCTGGGCGAGGTTCTCCGCCGGAGGCACGGCCCACCGACAGCCAGAGTGGGAGCGGGGAGGGCAGAGCTGATGGACAGGACCCCTCACGGGGCGGGCCCTCGGGGCTGCCTGGAGAGCTGCTGCCTGTCTGTTCGCTGTGGTTTCCTGGTCACCGCAGAGCGTGCGAGGTGCTGAGGGGATCCTCATGTGGGCTTCAGGGGTTCTGACTCGTGTCCACGCCCTGCCCCTGGCCCTGTGTTTCTCAGCCACAAACCACAGCGTGGTTGTGCTGGGTGCAGCCTGTGCTGTACGTTGTGCTGGGTCGGCACAGCCCGGGGGTGGGCGAATGGTCCAGAGGGGCAGAGAAGGGGCACATGTGCCAGGCACAGGATAACCATTGAGGAGGGAAGACCCTGAGTGCTCAGAGCCGCTGGGGGAGGGGGTGCATGGGGGGGGTGCATGGGGAGTAATGGCCTCTTCTGCCCCCGGGGCTTTGAAGAGCATCCCCGAGGCTTTTATGGATTTTCGAGTTATGAAAGGCTTTTAGTCACTTTCCAACTGCAGGGTATGGGAGTCAGAGTCTGTACGAGACTCCCCCTTATCCCTAGTATTTCCTGGCACCTCAGACAATGCCAAGGAAAAATTCTTTCTGTTCTTTCCTGGTTCTTGCCCATTTCCATGTACAGGGTGTCATGAAATAAGGGCCATCTTGTGCAGGGCAGAAGGGTCAGGAAGAGATGAGGGGTGGAATCGGTAGAGGCCAGAGGAATACCTGGATGCTGAGACTGAGTGGACAGGTGATTTGACTCTTTCGACCCTGTGAGATAGTGGAGATACATGTTGGTCTCCGCCTCACCCCCACCCTCCAGGACAGGGCAGACATCGGGGGCTGGAATCGGAGTTGATGACAGATCATGCCCACGTGAAGAAGCCTCCATAAAATCCCAGACTTACGGGGCTGCGGGGAGCTCCCGGATCGGAAAACACATCCATCCCAGCTCTATGGAGACAAAGGCTCCAGTGCGCCGGACCCTCCCAGACCTCAGCCTGTATCCTTGGCACATTCTTTAAAAAATTAGTAAATGTTTCCTTGAATTCTGTGCGCTGCTCTAGCACATTAAGTGAACCCGAGGAGGGGGTTCAGAGACTCCCCAATTTGTTGCCAAATTGGGAAGAGGTTGCAGATAATCCTGGGGCCTATAACTTAGTATTGGTACTGAAGTGGGGGCCGTCTGGGGGAGGGATCTGTCTCCACAAAGATGGCGGCAGAACTGAGCTGAACTGCAGGACACCCAGCTGGTGTCAGCACTGCTTGTCATGGGTAAAACCGCCACATATTTGGTGACCAGAAGGGTCAGACGTGGTGTCCTGTGTGAAAATTAGAAGGAAGCACAGGAGACAGACTCATGTAGGTGGGAAGAACAGGTGCTTCTCCTACTCAGGAAACGGGATTGTGCTTCTAATTCGCCCCTCAGAAGGGCCAGGGGACTCAGGACGCCTTCCACACGGCCCCCACCGGCTTGTCCTCTCATGCATGTGTAAAAGTGGTACATGGTACAACCTGTTAAAAGAGCTCTTTCTGTTTGCAGTGATGAGGAAGCCTGTGTCCTTACCTGACAGGCTTCCTGCAGCTTATCCTCAGCCCCAGGGCCTGGGGGGCCAGGCAGTCTGCCCCTTGCCCAGCGGTTGGTTGGTCGGTGAAGCCCCATGGCCCTCAGTCTGCTGCTGCTCCCCAGCCCCAGGCGGGGTGTAAGCTGGGCTTGGTGGCCTCAGCTCTTCTAATGATGAGCTGCCCTCACTTTGCCTTTTAAGAAAATGTCTGGAATACTTTGATGGTCCCAAGAGGAGATACAGAAGAGGCTCAGGAGAGCAAAGTTTATTGCATTCGTGAGTCTTAGGGCCTCAGAGGGCAGTGCCAGGGTGGCCAGGAGGTGGGGGACAGGAATGAGGGGAAGGCTACGGTCATTGACTTTGGTGGGGTTTCCACGGGAAAGGCAAGGCTGGGCAGGGGCCACTGCCAGGACCCGCTCCTTCCAGGATGTCTGGCACCAGGCCCAGTGGTGACTGAGCAAGCGCACTGCCACCTCGTCGGTCTGGGGCCCAAATGGAGCAGGTCTGGCTCCAGACCCCTGGGTCGGCAGATCACACGCATGCTCCCCAGTCCTTTGCTGTCGCTAAGAATTGGCTAGCCCGGTACAGGCAGTCTCCCCCACCCTCCAGCTGAAGCTTTTTAAGATGTAAAACCATAATACAACATCCAGAAAATGAAACATAAGCATATACAAATATTAAATACAAACTGCATTTGTAGAGTTGGGATACTACACAATCAGAAACACGGGTGAGCTCCAGCTCCGCACACGTACACGGGAAGGACACCCGCCACTGAAGCCTTCGGCCGGGCTCCCCGCCGGGAGAGGGCCTCTCACCGGGCAGCTCTGCGCCCTGTGTTTGCGGCTGGAGGCCGGCACTGTGCTATCATCATTCGGGAGTCAGAACCATGTGGTCACCGAAACGTCAAGTCAAGGGACATTAAGCGTCTAGTTCCTTCGTGTCACTGGCCGCCTCACGAGCTACTGTCTCGGGCGGAGGGGACACAGACCGGGTCTGTCCTTGCAGGTTGTACCGGGCAGCGCCCGCGGGCTGATTTCCCCGTTCACACTTATGGTCTGAAGGACGTTGCCCACGGTTTTTGGCGACTTTCTAGATTTGGGTTTGGCCGGTTGCTTCTTCAGGATCAGCTGCGCGTCACTGTCGGCAGGAATAATGCGTGATGCCTGCCGCAGTTTTCTTGCAGGTGATGCTGTTTTGAATCCGCCCCGCTAACCAACTCCAAGGCCAGCTCCACCCCGCCCAGGTGGCTGTTCTTTCCCTCCCTCCTGCCACCACCAAGATGGCTGCTGTACTGGGTCTCGCCCCGGCGGGGGTGTGGTCGGGCAGCGGCCAGCCAATGGCACGGCAGCGCGGACCTCCAGCCAATGGCACGGCAGCGCGGACCTCCAGCCAATGGGAAGGCAGCGCGGGCCTCCAGCCAATGGGAAGGCAGCGCGGGCCGGACGCGGGGAGCAGCCACAGAGTGCAGTGCTCACAGCATGTCTGGCTCCAGCGCGCGGGACAGAGCCGTAGACCCCGGGCCCCTGGGCCGCAGGAGGACGTGGGCCGAGCTGCTGGGTACGTGGGTGCGAGGGCCCGCACTGGGCCCCTCCCCGGGCCCCTTCCCGTCCGAGCCTCCCGAGCCGGGGAGGCCAGGGTCCTCCCCCGCTCTGGCTGCTTTGAGCCCGCTCGGGTTCCGACCCCTGACCCTGCACCCCGAACTGTGGCCCCTCCCCGGGTCGCCCTGTGTCAGACGTGGGGTTGGGAAAGGCAGCCCTGCGAAGGGGTGCGGTCTCCCGCACGGCCCGGGAGCGCGGGTGGCAGCGGCCTGTGGCCTTGGTTCCACGTCTGGCCGTGGCCCTCGGTGGGCGTCGGCTGCTCAGTCTCGTGGGCCGGGGATCAGGCTCCGGCGGGGGGCGGTGTCGCCGGGGCCCGCTGCTGGGTCCCTCCCTGACTGGTGCTCCCTTCGTCCGACCCGGCCCCCAGTGGGCAGGGCCAGGAGGCAGAAACCCGGCGCTGAGCGGGGACAGCAGATCCGGGCGGCCGCCGTGCAGCTCCTGAGGCGCCACCTGAATCTGGACCAGCTTCTGCTGGAGGTAAGGGGCCCGGCCCGTGCGGCGGACGGCTGCGTCCCTGCGGGGCCGGAGGGTGGGGGGCTCCCGCTCCGTGATGACGGGTGAGGAGCCATCGGGGTGAGCTCACCCTCTGGAGGTGGAGCTGCCTCGCGCTGCCTGGTCCCTGCCGCTTCCAGGTGGGAGGCCCGCTGCCCGCGAAGCTGCGCCCCAGCGCCTGGCCAGACCTGGGATCGGACCGCGGAGACCCCCGCACCCTGATCGGTGAGTCACAGCCCCAGGCCCCGCTCCTGTCGTCCAATCTGGTCTTTGACGCCGAAGTGATTACAGAAAAACAGGAATTTACAAACGGAGGCTACTGTAGTTCTCAACTTACTGTGCTTCTTTGAAAAAGTTAGTAAAACTTAAAAACTTTTTTAACTGGTTTTTTTGAGAGACATCAATTTGTTGTTCTATCTATTTATGCATTAACTGGTTGACTCTTGTATGTGCCCGGACCCGGGATTGAACCCGCAATCGAACCCGCAATTGAACCTGGATGCTGCTCTAGCCACCTGAGCGCCGGCCAGGGTGATGAAGTTCCCCATCAGAATGCAGCTGCCAGCCCTGTCTGTGTCCTGCCAAGCACACGTGTGCGTGTGCAGCTGTGGGCTGCAGGCACTCTGATAGCTGCTTCTGTCCCAGATGGTCTTCCGGGCATCAGTTCCTTCCCCCGAAGGTTGCGGTCTGTGGGGCTGCAGTGGGAACGAAGGCATTGGAGACTGCAGGCCTTCTGTTTCCGGTGTTGCAGTGTGTCTCCGTGCTTTGTGTTGTCTTTAGGCTCCGCTTTGCGGGACCAGGCCTCGAGGCTGGGGGTTCCAGTGGCAGTCCTGGCGAGCCAGACGGTGGCCTCCGGCATCGTGCAGGTCTGCAGGGCGCACGCTGAGCCCTCCCGCCGGGTGCTGCTGGACCTGGAGCAGAGAGTAAGGCTGCACGACGCTGAGACCATGCTGTTCTTCTGAGCCGTTGGGGAGAGTGGGACATTTCTTTAACATTGTTCCAGATGGTTGCCCATTTTTACAAAAGACTTCTCTTTTCAGAAGAAACTGTCTTCCTTGTTGGAGATCACTGGGCACCTGTTGGAGCACGGCATGTTCTCGCGTCTCTCCTTCTGTCAAGAACTGTGGAAAGCACAGGTAAGCCTGAGGGTGCAACTCCGACTCCGGGGCTCTTCCAGTCAGGGTCCTGTTGTCTGGGGGGAGCCACCAGGACCCCCGCGTTTCTTTGAGAAGAAAGCCTTCCCACCAAGCACCCCAGCAGCCCCTGAGTGGGGACGTGCTGGACAGGTGCCCGTGGGCAGGAAGGAAGCACGTGGCACCGCGTGTGCATGTGCACAGGGTGCAGCAGGAGTGGGGGCTGTCCACCTGGCTGGGGCTGGAGGGACACGAGTGGCGGAGGAGCTCAGTCCCTTGGGGCAGGAGCCACTGGAGCAGGGTGACCGAGGGGACCGTGTGTGTCCATGCTGGGAGAGGACAGGAGACGGGGCCTGGTCACAAAGGGCTGTGCCGTGTCAAAGAGGGAACTGTGTCCTGGATGCTGTGAGGAGCCTTGCAGGAGCCCAAAAAGACACTAGCGTGTTCCTTTGTGATTTGGAGTCTTGTGTTGGCCGTGGTGGAGGAAGGTCTGGAAGTGGTGGAAGCCAGCAACTGGGCAGGTACTATCGGAGCCTGCAGGACATGTGGTGGGGTCCGGCGGGAGGAGGGACAGCTGGCTGCGGGTGTGTCCGCAGGCTTCGTGAGGTTAAAACCTTAGCGGATGAGGCACATTTCAGGCCCTGCTCTTACTGCACTTGGTTTTCTTTTTTTCTTTTTTTAAAATTTATTTTTAGAGAGAGTGGAAGGGAAGGAGAAAGAGAGGGAGAGAAACATCAATGTGTGGTTGCCTCTCTCACACCCCTTACTAGGGACCTGTGTCCTGGGTGGGAATTGAACCTGTGACCCTTTGGTTCGCAGGCCCGCGCTCAATCCATTGAGCCATACCAGCCAGGGCCCTGCTCTTGGGTTTTCAACAGAGTTTGGTGATGAAGACCATAGGCTGAGCGTTCTGTAGGGAATGCGTCCTGAAGGACTCAATACTGCCACTCTCTCCAGGATTCTTTGCTGCTGGAAGCTGTGTGGTGTCTCCACAAACAGAACGTCGTGACTCTGCAAGAGCTGCTGGAAAGGTAGTGATGATAGGACGTTTCCCTGTGTTACATGACTTAGAGTTCATGATCTTGTCCTGTGGGACTTACATATCAAAGCCAAAATCGCCTGGAGAAGCTATCACAGCCGATCTTTGAACAATGTGGGGTTTTTTCCCCTCCAGTAAGTGCAGTTGGCCTTCTGTATCCATCGGTTTTGCATCTGTGGGTTCTACCGAGAGGCTCAGAAACAGTCTTCGGTCTGCAGCTGGGAACCTGCGGGTGCAGAGAGCTGGCCACAGGCGTTCTGTGCCGGTTTCCATGCGGACTTGAGCACTGGTGGCGAGTGCTGGAACCAGTCACCCACAGACACTGAGGGACGATGACTGCGTTACATTTTGGGGGAGTCAAAGGTTGTCTAAGGGTCTACTGTATTTTATTACTTAAAGAGAATGTTTTTTGTAACTGAAGTCTTATGCACACACTTGGCGATGGGGTTTTTTTTTTTTTTGGTAAGATGTATCATGTGATAATGTGTTTTTAAAAACTAAAAAGGTGTTCAGGTAAATGTGGTTTATAGAAAGTGTGTAAGGACGTCTGCCCCTCGCAGAATCCCACTGAGGCTGAGAAAGGGGGTTTTACAAGAGAAGCACAGCCTGTGAAGATGGGAGGGTGTGGGAGAAGCTGTACTAGCAAGAGGTGGGTCGCAGGAGGCAGGTGACTGAGCAAACAAACGGGAGACGGCTTGTGCTGAGCCAGCAGCGTGGAAAGAAGGGAGCCAATCCGGTTCATTCTTTCTCCCTAAAAGTCTCAGGGACTGACGGCCCCAGGTGCCTGTGGATGTGAGGTTGCAGGAGAGAGACTCGTGCGCTGAAAGCAGGTGCCAGAAGCACTTGGACCTCGGATGGGCCCTTCTTTTCTTTAGGCAGTGGCGGCTGCTCCTCCTCTGCGGGCGGAGCAGGAGGCTGGGGTCTGCGTGCTTGTTCTCTGGTCCGGAGAAACGGCCTCCTGCTTGGGGGATTGTCTGGCAGCTGAGGATGCTGCATTGAAACCACCAGTGACATGACACGTGGGCCACGTCCAGATTTTAAGTTGGATCTTTACACCAAAAACGTTCTGATGAGTCGAAGAAGGAAAAAAACGTATGGAAGCAGTAGAGGGCGTCCTAGAAGGATGTTTTTGTAACCTGGAAGTGGGGGAGGCCTGAATATTCCAATTAAAAGTGGACAAAGGATTTCAGCCAGTTCCCCAGAGGAGGTGGACAGATGGCCAGGCACAGAAAGGGGCTCAGTGCTCGTGGTCCTTGGGAGGTTCGGCTGAGAGTGGCTGACCCCTGGGTGGCGGGCTCTGGCCTGGGGCTGCTGCTGTTCCGTCTGATCACGCTGTAACCGAGCGTCCTGCCCCCTGCAGCGGCATACTGTTCCCAACAGGTAAACTCCTTGAACACGGTCGTGTTTCACGTTAGTGAAAGACACGTCAGCATCCCTGACGGCTTCCCACGCGTGAGCTCTGACTTCCTGTGCAGGAAGCTCAGGTGGTTGCTCGAGCGTCCTCCACAGCCTGAGCCTCCTGGTGAAATGAGGGGGAGCAAGCGGCCGGTGGCTGTGCAGCAGTGGGACCTGGTGTGCTGTGTGCTTGTCCCCAGCCACGAGGACACGCGGGCAGTGGTGGCGTGGCTCTTCAGGAACCTGCGCTGTCTGTGTGAGCAGTCAGAAGACTCCGGTCTGCACTCTGACATCACCGGGGCCATGCTCTCAGGTAAGTTCCTCACAGAGGCGGTTCGTGGGTGCAGCTCCCGAGGCCACCCATGCTGTGAGGCTAGCTGTCTGCTGGGAGGACCATGGGGAGCAGGACAGGCCCCACGCCACGGCGTGGCAATCTCGCATGCAGTCATCTGGGGCCACGCCTATCGCAGTGTGTTTGCATTCAGCTTGAATTGCGTGGAAACTGTGGCGAGTCCCCTTGCTGCCCGTTGTGGCAGGGGCCCCGTAGCTGAATCACCACGTGCTGAACCAGGAGGCAGGAGCCCCCACGGGCGTGGCAGCAAGTGGGCCTGGGGCCGTGCTGACTGAGCACGACTCACCCACAGAGGACGGTTGGGAAACAGAGCAGGTGGGAGCCCCTGTCACTTACAGGGTGACTGGGGACGGAGTGAGTGAGCACTTCGCTTCTGTGGTTTCCAGATTTTGTGCAGATGTTGGTTTTGAGAGGATTTCAGAAAAATTCGGGTCCAGGAAGAAACTCGGAGGCTGAGCGGGTGCCCCAGGTAGGAGGGAAGGCGAAGGGAAGCGGCACGGGGCTGCTGAGCGAGCCCCACCCCCACCCGCCATGCCCGTCCTTGCCGTCCCTGGCCTAGCGACTGGCCTTGCTGGGACCATGAGATGCCCCCGCAGTGTTCCTTCCTAGTCCAGCAGGTGTGGGGGGGGGCAGGCTGTGACCTCCCCCCACGTCCCCCGGGCCTGTGCTTACAGAAAGGGAAGGACGCTCCTCACTGGGTACAGTCAGGACCCTCTGTGCGGATGGCATCCGGGCAATCGGGGCATGTGGGGGGCGGGGCCGGGGCCAGCGGGATGCGGCCAGGGCCTGAGCAGTCTCGGGGCGTCAGATGGACACTTCCAGAAGGTCCGCTTTTCACTCCCTGGTTCCTTGTGGGGGTAATACGCAGACTGGGAAATCTTAGCAGTGCACCTCTGTAAAAAGTCCCTTCTGTGTGCGGCTCTCGCGTGGTGCCGCGGCGTGACTGAGCGAGGGGAACCCGTCTGTCTGCAGATCGCTGCGGCTGTGCTGCGGAGGATGCTGCTCTGTGAGTGTACTGCCCGGCCCCGACGGGGGCTTCCTCCTCTCCCCACCCGTCCATCTCCAGTGTTCCGCCTGTTTGCAGGTGTCCCTGTAGAGTCCTAGTACCGGAAACCCCCTCCTGTGGGTGTAATTTGGCATCAACTTACCCCCCTTTTTCTCCTGGCTCAATTCCTCAGAGCTGTGAATGGCTGATTGTGGTTAATGGTGAACTTGGGGACATTTTATTGTCTGCATATCGTGACTGGTTTTAAAGGTGTCACTGAGCGATTCACTTCAAAGCCTCAAGGCCTTGTGCCGTCTGGGGTTTGAGTGGCCCGGGAGGTCTGTACCTTGGAAGTGAGGGGCTGCCACCCAAGACGCCCGCCTTGTGCGGAAGCCCTCCGTCGGGGTGGTCCTGGCGGGCCGGGACGGTGTGCTGACGCCTGTGCTCTGCCCCCACGGCCGGCGGCAGTCGCACTGGGAGCCTTGGCTGACGGCGTGCAGGAGGAGTCCTCAGCGCACAAGGCCGCGCGCTGCTGGTACGTTTCTGGGAAGCCTGGGGGGTTCCCGCTGGAGTAGAGGTCCTGGGTGTTTTGGGCACCCCAAAGTACTGACAGGGGCTCCTGAGCATGTGGGCACTGCCATCACGTCTGCGTCAGGAGAGGTGATGGCACTGGAGCACTGGAACTCGGGTCACAGTGCCCCTCTTCCCACCCTGCCCTCCCAGGCCCTCGAGGGTTTCCTGCAGCACACAGCGGGCTGTCGCCTGCGTCTGCTCCAGGGCCCCCGCTGAGACCCCGAGTGGCCCCAGCTCGGCCACACTGGCTGTGTCTCTCCGTGGCTCTGGAGCTGCATGTGGACACTCTGGGTTGGGACTGGGGATTGACTCTGTCCTAGGAAACCTGAGAGTTTCCCAGCATCTCCCTGCTCTTTATTGCTTTGGTTTTCCTCCAATACTGTATAGTCCTCAGGTGTGCTGTATCATTCACTCCTTCTTATTGCTTATGTTTTATTCTCACCTGAGGATATTTTCTCTTTCAGAAAGAGAGGAAGTGGGGGAGAAACATTAACATGAGAGAAAACCATCGGCCAGTTGCCCTCTTGTACACGCCCTGACCAGGGATAGAACCCGCAACCCGGGTGTGCACCCTGACCCGGGACGACGCTCCAACCAGCTGAGCCACCCCAGCCAAACCTGGTCCCGTACTTTGTGTAAACAGTGGAAACACTGCTTTGTTCTCTAAATTTTACACATTTTTGTGACATGCCTAGATAGCACAAACTCATGTCCTAGGTGTCAGATAATGATCATCAGTCTGTTTTTAAAACTTAAAATTAGTCGCCAATACTTGCACTGAAATCAGACACCCCCGCCAGTCGGGGTTGGCACACTGGCACCCGCCCCCCGGGGAGGAGCGGGCCCCGTGGGGCCCCGCGTTCTCCCTTCTGCCCGACACGCCTGCGCCCTCGTTGTGCGTGTGACTCTGGTGGTGCATGTACCTGCTGGGACCCTCAGTCTTCCCCCGAGAGGAATGGGCCGGGCGACCCTGGCACACGCCCAGGGTCAGCCCCGGTCACCCTCCATCCCTCCTCGCGAGTCAGCGACGTCCTGCTCCCTCCGAGGGGGGCCGCCCCTCCCTCCTGCTCCTGTCACAGGACCCGCTGGCTTTCAGAGCAGTCGCTGAGTATGAGCACCTGCGTGTGCCCGGCACTCCGCACGAGTTTGGCGTAACCCTGCTGTCTGACCCCATCTCACAGAAGGGGAAACCGAGGCCTTGCAGTGTTGGTGGCTTGCTGGGGCCTGGCCCTCTGTCAGGTTTAGGCCTCCGTCCCACCGTGGTCCTCAGGCCCAGCCCTTGCTGACCTCTGACCTCCTGCCTCTCCTTGGCTTGCCTGCTGCCTGCTTGTAGTTTTCCCTCCTGTTGAAGCTACGCTCCCCAGGATTCTGCAGCACCTCGGTCTGGCAGAGAGGGCTTCAGGGTGGCGGAAGGGGCTGCCTGGGAGCCACCGGCCTGGCAGTCGGGACCCGATGGTCCTGGCCAGCTTTGCTGGACACAATGCTTTGATGAGCTGTCCGCGGGTGTGGAGACATTGGGACCCCGGTGGACATCTCCCTTCTGCTCCGTCTGCAGGTTCAGCGGGTTCAGTGGAAACACGCTTCGCAGTGTAATTTCGACAGATTCTCCCAGGAGGTTTTTCAGACACACGCTGACTCAGATACTCACTCACCAGCCTGTGCTGAAAGGTGGGGACCAACGCAGCCCCCCTCAATGGGAACTTGGGCCCCATGGTAATGCTCTCGGACACTTACCCAGCTTTTTGATGATTGCGAGCTGACGTTTTTGTCTGTTCCTCCTCCCGGTGAAGTCTCCGATGCAGTTCGCATGCAGAGGGAGTGGAGCTTTGCGAGGACCCACCCTCTGCTCACCGGCCTGTACCGCAGGGTGAGTCGAGGGGCGGGGAGAGGCCGTCTTCGCTCTCCGGCAGAGCTCTGTGGCTGCAGTCCTCGCAGAGGGAGGCCCGTGCTCTCCGCACAGCTGCCAGCCAGTGCTGACCGCCGCGGGGAGGGAGACTCGGGCGTGTCCTGCCCCTGCCCCTGCCCCACAGGGGTTTGCTCGGACAGCCCAGGTGCTTTTTTTCCAGCTCTTCGTGCTCCTGAGTCCGGAGGAGCTGGTGGGCCACTTGCAGGACGTTCTGGAGACGCACGAGGTGAACTGGCAGCACGTGCTGTCCTGCGTGTCCACGGTGGTGGTCTGCCTCCCCGGAGCACAGCCGCTGGTGACTGGTGCGTGCTGGCGGGCGTCCTCGGGGTGTGGGGGTGAGTGGGTGTATGTGCGCATGCGCACAAGTGACAGGCTGTCGTGATTGGCCAAACCCAGCAGTTGGGGTGAGCCTGTGGGCGGAGCCAGTGTCCATCTCAGTGAGGGCGGAAGTCCTCCCCTGCCCGGAAGTGCCCTGCGTCCAGTGCCATGGGCTCTGCCGCTGCTCGTCGGCCTCAGGGAGTGGCTGTCTGGCTGCTCCGAGCAGTTCCCCGGCCCTGGAAGTCGGCGTGGGGCCTGCCGGCCGTAAGGGGGCGCCTGCTCCCCGGTGGACCGTTCGCCTCTTATTTTCCCCGTTGTTCCTGCCCAGACTGGGCGGCCCGTCTGCTGGCCCGCGCGTTCGAGAGCTTCGACCTGGACAGCATGGTCACCGTGTTCCTGGTCGTGCGCCAGGCTGCGCTGGAGGGCCCCGCCGTGTTCCCGCCCTACGCAGACTGGTTCCAGGTGCGTGGCCTTCGCTGACCTGCTGGCGCTCCCAGGGGTCGTCGGCGCGTCCCCGACTCGCTGTTGCGAGAGCGGGTGTGTTCTGGGGGTCAGCGCTGAGGGGTGTGGGGGGGGGTTGACGGCAGTGTCCTCGGGCCGCCGAGGGACTTTTCTGTGTCGGCGTGTCGTCCTCTGCCGAGAGCCCTGCCCAGGCGCTCCGGTCACCGCCAGGTGTCCCGGGCCTCAGGTTTGGTCAGTTCTCGAGACAGACGGCACAGGCGGGAGAGGAGGGCTGCAGTGCTGCGTCCAGGGCTGCTCTTTGGTCCTGTGGTCCCTTTTGCCCCTTTTTCACCCATCCTCCCTGAGCTAGAGCTCACAGACACTGCAGCGGACCCCTTCAGCGCACGGATGTGCAGCGCTCGAAGGTCTGTCTTTGTTTTCCAAGAATGCCCATAAGCAGGCCAACGTGACGGCAGATTTAAGCCCCTGGGTTTGGCAACGTAGTTCTGAGCTCATCACGAGGCGTACGTGGCTGCAGTTTTTCTAGTAGTGAAGAAAACGGCCTTTTCCCTGGAGCGGCACTACCTGCTGCTCTTACCCCAGTCTGGGGGGCGGGGGGCGGTCCTTCACACGAAACCCTCCGCGCACTGCGGGCCCGCTGGGGGGCGCTTCCTGCCTGTCCCACCTTCGGTGTGTCCTCGAGGCTCTCTCTCCACTGAGTGGGCACTGCCACGACTCGGGAACCCCTCTGGGTGACAGAGTCCTGCTGTCTGACGGCTCCTGCGTCCACCCCGTCGGAGTGTCCAGAAGAAGCACGTGCCCTTCGGAGGGGAGCGGCAGCAGGATCTCAGTGGGGGACGGGCCGTGACAGGGCCTGGCTGCAGGACCCACAGGGTCTGGGAGGCGGCAGTGTGCTGCGGGCTTGCGCGTGCCAGGCCCCCTCCTCGCACTCACCCCAGCACCCTCGGTTCCTGCAAGGCCTCTGCGGTGGTCAGGCCTGCCAGGGCCCGGCGGACCGCCGCCTCCCCTGCCCTGCCCTGGCCCGCACAGGCGACTATGGAGGTTGTGCGCGTTGCTGTGGAGGAGTGCGGCTTCTCTGTAGGGGGTGGGACTTCCTGGGAGAGGCCTTGTTGGGCCGTTGGTGAGCTGAGTCTCTGAGGGTCCCCGGACACTGCAGGCACTGTGCTCACTGCCTCCGTGGCCAAGGCTTCTCCATGATGTTCCGAAAGGGCACCGACTGAGTGGCCCTGTGGCTTCTCGTCCTAGTGGCGGTTTTCCGCTGTCGAGGCGCCGCACCCACAGGTGTCTGTGCGGACAGCCCGGCGCCCTCGGCCCCGCCTCACGCCCGTCTCCCTCCAGGCCTCCTTCGGGGGCTCGCGGGGCCTCCACTGCGGCAGCAAGAAGGCGCTGGTCTTCCTCTTCAAGTTCCTGTCCGACCTCGTGCCCTTCGAGGCCCCCCGGTACCTGCAGGTGAGAAGCTGGCCGCCGCCACGCCCTCCTCAGCCCAAGGGTGCTGCTCCTGAGCTGGTGCCCATGGGACGGTGCAAACCCAGCAGCCAGGGGTGTCGGTATGTGTCCAGGGACGGGGTTGGTGATGGCAGAAGGCCAGGAGGCAGCCCCTTGTCCGTCCTTGGGCGGCGGCCATGCAGGCCGGTGTCTCGGTCCTTCCATGCAGCAGCTCCGAGAGCTGACACAGGAGGAGAACGTGTCACATCCCGTCTTTGGTTTTCAAGAATGACATATTTTTTATTGAAGAAGAAGCATCTGGAAGGATGTACCCCACACTGCTAGTGACCATTACTTCTGGGTGTGGGGAACTATTTTTTGTTTATGTTAATCTTACAGTTAAAATATATTTATTTCTGTAAGTCTTATTTAATTAGATAACTTTGCCCAGTATTTGCTTTGGGGGGTAGGGCATCTGGAAATGGATTCTCGCCCTTTTTTAAGTCAGAAATTGACGTCACGTTCTAAAGAGTACAGGTGAGGTCGTAGGGTGCAGGTGGGGTCGTAGGCAAAGGGACGGACGAGCTGTGAGCCCATCACGGGTGAAGCCCGAGTGCTGCTCACGCCTCTGGTGCCTTGGCCCACTGGCCCGAGTGCTGGCCCTGTGCCCTGGGCACCCGTGGGAGGCTCGGCCGGCCGCCCTTTCGGACGGAAAGACGCCTCGCCATCAGAGGCCTGCCCGCCAGCAGTGGCGTCAGCGCCCTCCATCTCAGGAGAGGTGGGCACAGGGATGCCCGGGGTTCTGTGGCTGAGGAGCCCATGCGACCCCACCACCCTTGCCTGCCCACCTCTGAAGGGCTCCCCCCCAGGGCATGTGGAAGCCCTCACCCAGGGCTCTGTCCATCCCTCCTCCAGCTTGCCCTCCTGGTCTTTGGCTAATTCTGACTTTTCCTGTCATCGGTGCAAGTGTCTCCCCCCACAGTCAGGAACAGTTGACAGGCTGGTGTCCTGCTGTATCGTCTGCTACAGGTGCACATCCTCCACCCGCCCCTGGTCCCCAGCAAGTACCGCTCCCTCCTCACAGACTACATCTCGCTGGCCAAGACGCGGCTGGCTGACCTGAAGGCGAGTCCCGGCCTCCCCTCCTCCCCCTCCGACCTTCCCTGCAGTTGCCCACGCCCATCTGGTCCTCACGCTGCCACTCACGTCTCCTCTGCAGGTTTCTATGGAAAACATGGGGCTCTATGAGGACTTGTCTTCAGCTGGGGACGTCGTAGAGGTAACTCACCTCAGTGCTGGCCCTCGGGCGTGTCCCCAGGCTCCCCAAGCATAGTCTCGTTTCCCGTGACGCTTGAGTGTTCAAGCCTGTTCTGTCTGGGACCCGGGGTGTCTGGTGCAGCTGGGGCATCCCAGTCGCCCCGGGTGCTTGTTCTGCAGCGTCCGCACTGCTGAGAGCAGGAGCCGGCAGCCCCACGTCTGGGGGCACTGTCCCTCCTCTCAGTCTGAGTGGAAGGGGCGAGCTGTGCGGGTGCAGGCAGGCCTCGTGCGTTGTCAGGAGTCGCGGAAGAGGGTTAGCTGCATGTACGTGAACCAAATGTCGGGTGGCCGTATGGTGTGCATAGTTCTTAAGGCCCTTTTACTTAAAAGACGTGAGTTACTAAAGGGCTGTTGTAGATGTCGTTAAAGGGAATATTTCAAAATACTGCATTTTTCCATTTTAAGATCTATTGCTGTACTTTTTTAAATATCACACTTATGTCTCTGCTCCTCCTCACCTGAAAACCTCCGGAGCCCTGTACTGTCCTGGGAGTCGGCAGAGAGGAGAAGCAGGAAGGGTGCAGGGAGACAGGAAGGGGCGGTTGCTTCCCGGAGGGGCCACGCAGCCGCCCAGCTGCCTGGTCTGACCTGCCCAGGGCAGAAAGCCGTGGGCGCCGTCCCGGGTTCTGAACATTCCCTGTGTGCCACGTGTCGACCTCAGGGCCTTCCCCTGCAGAACGATAAGTCTTCTCTTTTCCTTTCCTCCTTGCACGGACTCAGCCCCACAGCCAGGCGGCCCAGGATGTGGAGAAGGCCATCCAGGTGTTTGAACACACAGGGAGAATTCCCGTCGCCGTCATGGAGGCCAGGTGGGGTCATGCAGCTGGAGTGGCCCCCTGGCCTGCTCCCAGACCCCTGTGCAGCAGGTGCCCCCGTTCGTGGGGGGACACGAGAGCCCCCATGAGCGTCCCAGGGGTGGGCCCGTGGCTGGCTGGTACAGAGCCCTTGCTGTGACGAGTTTTCTTCAGAAAAGGCCACGGCACCCCCAAAACAGCCAATGAGTGGAGCTGAGGGGAGCCCACACTGTTTGAGGGACAGTAGTTTTTATTAATGTGTCGTTGGTGACCAGCATGGAGCCAGTAGAGAGAGTCGGATAGCAGAACTCTTGAGTCTGGTGTGATCCCGAAACTCAAGTCCTGGTTGCTACCATGTGAGGCTGCTTTATCAAAGTGTCCTTCTGAGAAGCCTGGTCCCAGCTCCTGGGATTTCTGTGTCAGCTCCAAGGGGCATGCCCACGTTGACCTGAAGTGACCCCTGCGGCCTTGGGCTGGCTCAAACCCATGGCCACGCCAGGGACAGGACGCAGGGGATCACCGCGCAGACTGCCCTCTGCGTGAACTGGGACTTGGCAACGTGCTGTGACATCACAGCCGCACACTGAGACCGCCCACCCGGTGCCCCTCGGGGTGGACCCTGGCGTCGGCGGGTTCACTGAGGCGCCCGACGCTCCTGCCGTCTGAGCCCGCTCCTCTGTGTTGCAGCATATTCCGGAGGTCCTACTACGTGTCTCACTTCCTGAGCGCCCTGCTCACGCCGCGAGTGGTCAGTACGCTTCTTCGTGGACTCCGGACGGAGGTGGCGGGGAGCGAGGGCATCCTGCCCTGCATGCCTCTCACTGGGGTCCCGTGTCCGCCCACAGCTGCCGAGCACCCCTGACTCCCGTGCGGCCTTCATAGAGGCCCTGAGGAGGTGCGTGCGCTGCCTTCATGTGCGGTTGTGGCAGTGAGGAGGGTTCTGGTTATTCTTCTTTTTTAAGATTTTGTTTATTTTTAGAGAGGGAAGGGAGGGAGAAAGAGAGGGAGAAACATCCATGTGCGGTTGCTGGGGGTCATGGCCTGCAACCCAGGCATGTGCCCTGACTGGGAATCGAACCTGCGATGCTTTGGTTCGCAGCCCGCGCTCCATCCACTGAGCTACACCAGCCAGGGCGAGAGTTCTGGTTATTCTTTAGAGCTTTGCTTTATCACGTATGTTTTGCTTATAAAATTTTGGTTCAAAATTAGTGGGTTAAGATTTCACCAAGAAAACTGGGTTGTGAGTATCTCCACTCTGCATGGAGGAGGGCAGCTGGGGACCAAAGAGACGGACGGTGTTGTTGGCACAAGTCCCCGTGACGGGGGACGCGGTGCCAGCTTTTTTGTTTGTATTTGGATGGTGTGGCTTCTTAGTTTTTTTGACATTTATTTTCAGTTGTTTTTTTTTTTAATTTCTAGTCTTAAAAATTTTTTTTCAACGTTAAATATAGATGTAGAAAGAAGAATCATAGTTGTATGAAACTGAAGAAAAACAGCCACCACCCCTTCCCTACCACTTCTCTGGAGACAACTATTTCCAACTCTGAGCTGATCTTTAAATTTCTCTCTATATCTTTAAACTCTCCTTTTTAAAGGATTTTGCTTATTTATTTTTAGAGAGAGGGAAAGAGAGGGAGAGAAACCTCAATGTGTGGTTGCCTCTCATGAGCCCCTAACCAGGGACCTGGTCCACAACCCAGGCCTGTGCCCTGACTGGGAGTCGAACCGGTGACCCTTTGGTTCACAGGCTAGTGCTCAATCCACTGAGCCACCCCAGCCAGGGTGGCCCGCTTTTACAATTTGGAAGTTACTGAAACTTGAATGAGAGGAGTAAAATTCATTCATAACCTCCGTGCCGGGAAACCACTGTGGGCGGACGTGCTCCCGCTGCCTGGCCCCCCCGCGGAGGTGCGCATGCGCGGAGGTGTCTCTGCAGCGGGGTCTCAGTGCGCAGCGCCCCGTCCTCACTCTCTGTGCCGGGCGTCTGTCTGCGGGGCTGTGGGACCGTCAGCTTGTGAGGCAGCTCGTGTCGCGGATGACCTGACTGTAGGGTTCTGTTCTGATTCAGAGCCGACAAGATCCCCCCATCTCTGTACTCCACCTACCGCCGAGCCTGCTCCGCCGCTGCCAGGGAGAAGCCAGCAGGTACGGGCCATGGGTTTTCCGCCTCGGGATGGGTCGGGGGCACCAGGGTCCGTGCAGTCTGGTCAGGCCATGCTGGATGCGACTCGGAGCCTGCCTCACGCCAGCGCCAGTGGTGGGCCAGGATGGCCGGACGCGATGCCGTCCACCCCCGCTCTGAGCCTGGACACGTCACCTGAAGGAGCACCTTCCTGCAGGGGACACGCCCCACAGGGGACAGGGGTGGTCTCCATTGGCCTGTCCCAGACTCCAGCGGCACACTCCAGTGACTCTCTGGCCTGGCCTGTGGCTCCTGAGGCCTGTCGCGGGGCTGGTCTGGGGCAGCTCTCCGGCCACTTGGATGGTCTGTGGGTTGGGGGGTGTCTTTCTGGCCCCAGGGAAGAGCAACGGGACTGAGGCCTCATTGGGAGGATGTGGAGACGAGACCACCACACTCGCAGCAGCTGGTCAGACTCGGCTGTGTGTCCTGGCCATTGACCAGGAGGCTGTCAGCAGTGCCACCGGGTGGGCGTCTCAGCCCTGGCCCTTGACGGGCAGGGGCCATGCTGTTCAAGCAGCAGCTTGTGCTGGCTGGTCTCAGCTCCCCGGCGTCTAAAGAGCTGTGTGAACTCATGGGGGTCTGTCTGCCAGAATCCCCTTCCCCAGCCTGGGGAGTTTCTCGGAGATGGAGACCCAGGACCCCTGAGCAGACAGAGGACGAGGGTCCCGGGTCTCCCAGCCATGGGCCTGGTGCTGGGGCAGCAGCTGTGCTGGGAGTGCCGGGTGCAGCCAGTCCTCCTCTCCAGCCCCCGGGCCCACTCCTCGGGCTTTGGCAGTGTCCTTGCTGCAGAGTGGACGTGGGGGGCCGTCTGCCAGGGGCCCCAGGTTTTGACTCCCGCTGTCGCTGTTGGGAGACCCCTGTGGCTCACCGCACACGCGGTGTCTTCACCACTGACACCATGTTGAACTTGCTCTGCTTGTAAAAGACTAACCTTTTTTTCTTTTTCCTTCGACTTTTTCACATCCTGTGGTAAACAGTAATATAATGATGACACTTACGCGTTTGAGAACTAGGGACCAAACTGTCACCCGTGCTTCTGCTGCCAGCTGGGCCTCACTCACTGCGCTTCTCTGGCTCCATTGGGCGCTGGCTGTCCTTCTTGCGGCGACGGGGCGGGTGCTCCATGCTTGTTCCTAAACTTGTTCTTAAATGTTGTGATTGTTGGTATCCAGAGTCCAGCCTCGGGCTGGTTTCATGTGCCCCTCAGAGACAGAGAAACCCCAGACTCGAGGAGGTCTGTGGTCAGCGCTGTGTGTGCTGTCTGGCCCAATGTTGACGCCCCCCCCCCCACTCCCCCATCTCTCAGTTGCAGCCCTGGGAATGGAGGTGGACCCCAGCTGTTCAGAAGACTCCCTGGCGCTGCTCACAGCTGCACTCGGAGAGCTCAGGGCGGCTATGGCCGACCCTGCCCAGCACGATGGTGAGGGTGGGCTGTGTGGGGCAGAGGGGCTGGTTATCCCCTCGTGGTGGTAGGGCTGGTACTCCGGCCGTTTGTTGTTTGGCGGTGAGGCCTGACCACGGTGCTGGCGGGTGTTGGGTGTGGTCCCCTTCAGACAGGGTGGGGGACTGGTCTCCAGCTGTCACCCACCTTGGCAGGAGGTGACTGTTCTGCTGTTCGGCACCCCCTAGGCCAGGGCAAGGGGAAGCCGGCCGTGCTCCTGGGTGTGGGGCTTGCTTTCTCTGCTAACGATGCCCACGTGGCCGTAACCCAGATACAGGCCTCCGCCTGCTGCTGGGGGAGCCCAAGTGCTTCCGTGCAGCGGGGCGCACGGTCTGGGAGATGGAGTGCCCAGCCCCAGTGCGCCCGGTCGTCAGTGATGGAAAAAGCAGAATCTGAAGCGACAGGCTCTGTGTGTGTTGACCTAGGAACTGTGACATTTTACTTCTTAGGAAGTCATTTTACCCCAGCCGAGAATGAATGTCCCTAAGAGCTCACGGAGGACATTCTAACAGAACCCCTTAGTGTCCCTGCTTGCTGGGTGCCTGCCTGCTGGGCCTTCGCTGGGACGGCGGGGAGGGGGCTCGGCCTTCCAGAGCCGTGCTTCTGCAGAACGTGGCGTCTGGGGACCCTGGGGCCTGGCGGGACCCCAGAGCTCCAGCGGGGTGTCTGAGAAGCCAGGCCAGCCTCGTCCCCACAGGTGGCAGGGCTTCCGTTTGCACGCAGTGTGGCTGCCCCACCCCACCCTCCGGGGCCTCTTTGCTGTTGGCCTCCAGCAGACAGCACAGTTTCGGGGAGAGCTGGTGTGGGGTTCAGACGAAGGGCTTAAATGGGTGGGGAGGCGTGTGATGGTGTCAGCCCTCAATTGTGCAGGACCAGGGTGGACGGCTACTGCCCCTCTGCCCTGTCAGGTGCCCCCCGCGGCCCCGTCACTGTGCCCTGCAGCGAGGCCCTGGGGTGCACTCAGGCTGGTGGTGGGAGGTGTCTGCATCCCCGTCGGCCCCTCCCAGCACCTCCTGCCTGCGGCCCTGTGCACCTGACTGGGCTCCCCGTGCACAGCTCTCTCCGCACAGGTTGCGGTGGTTGCTGAAAGGCTGGGCGCTGCCCTGGGCCTCTGCGAGGACGGCGGCAGCCCTGAGGTCTCAGAGATCCGGCTCAGCGTCCTTGCCCCCAGGCTGGGGCAGCGGGAACAGCAGGTGTGTGCGAGGTGCCCGAGAGCACAGCCGGCTCAGCCGCTGGGTGGTGCTGGGGGATCGGAAGCCACTTTCCTCACGCCTGCTCTGCTCCGCGGCGTGAAGTGTGTGCCTGGAGCCCAGACAGTCGGGGGCTCCGTCCCAGGGTGGGCCAGCCCAGCTGTGTGTGTGACGAACACGCGCCGGACGAGGCCGGCCGAGCCTGGCCGTGCTCTGCCGTGAAACCCCGACTGCAGGCTGCGTGGTGCCGCGAGGCTCGTCAGCTCCCCAGGGTCTGGGAACCGGGGTTCCCGCCCCGGGCAGCTGTGGGCCGTGTGCACGAGGCGGGGCCCAGCTCGCGCACGTCCCCTCTGGGGCGGGAGGCCCTCAGCACCGCCCCTCCCCCAGGTTGTGGACCTCCTGCTGACGTCTTTCTGTCAGAGCCTGATGGTGGCCTCCAGCTCTGCCCCCCCAGACAGGTAGTTTGGGCAGCGAGAGCTGCCCTGGGCGGCCTGGTGCTCTGGGCGGGCCTGCCTTGGTGGGGGGCCTGCTGGCTCCCATCCAGTGGGGACGCGGCAGAGGGGCAGCCTTGCCACCGGAGACCCTGCCGTTCGGGGAACGGCCTGGCTCTCGCTGAAGCCTCCTGTGCCCCCGCGGTTGTCCCTGGGCCCTGGGGGGGAGGGGGCCGGAGTGACCGGGCCCTTGTCTCTGAAGGCAGGGCTCCTGGGCTGCCCGCTTCGTGACGGCCACCTGTGGACGCACGCTCCTCCCTGCCGTGCTCTCCAGGCTCTGCCAGCTTCTCCGCCACCAGGTAGGGCCACTGCCGTCCTCCCGCCGGGAGTGGGCTCTGCGCCCTTCCTCCTGCAGAGCCGGCTTCCGTGCCGTTGCAGGGCCCGGGCCTGCAGGCCTCGCAGGTGCTGGGGCTGGCTGCCCTGGCTGCCCACCTCGGCCGGTCCCCGTCTGCGCTCCCAAAGGTGCACATGGGCCCGCCTGCCCCCGCCGGGGGCCTCTCCGTCCCCGAGTTCCTCGGCAGCCTCCTGACGTGCGAGTCCAGGGGCTCCGCGCTCCTCTGCCTCAGGTGAGTTCCCGCCGGCCCCCAGGCACGTGTCCCCGCTGTCGACGGAAGTGACGGCTGTGGCCACCGATGGCCCCTGGCTAACTAACGTTTGCGAGCACCTTCCGGGACCTCGCGTGCCTGCGGGTGTTTTCCTCGTTCATGGAAACGGGGTCACAGGCTGCAGCGCAGGACCCTGGCCCGCAGGTGAGGCGTCGGCATGGCCCGAGGTGCCCCTGAGTGTCGCTCAGCGTTCTCCGGGCCAGGGCCAGGGGCTCTGCTGGGTCTCGGGGCCGCAGCCTCTGGTGGGCTCCCCAGCTCCCCGTGCCGAGCAGCCGCTGCCGCTGTTTCTCCAGGGTGAGTCCCTGCCTGCGGAGCGGCCCCGTCCAGAGGCAGACGCATCCTGAAGGGCTTTGAGACCCGTCCTCCCATACATCTGGTCCCTTCATGTGCCACTGGGCCAGGCCCTGGGGTGGAGCCTGTCCCTGCCCTTCTGGGCAGGGACCCCTGCGGAGGGGACAGTGAAGCGTGTGGGGTGGCAGGTGCGGGGCACAGGGGGGCGGCTAGGGGTGAGAGCAGCTGCCTGGGGAGGGCCGGGCTGTCCTCTGACGGGGTCTGAAGTGGGAGCTGTTGGCTGGAAGAGTCACGAGGAATACAGGGGACAGGAGGGACAGTCACAGTAAGGTCTACGTCGGACCACCGCCCACTGGACATCCATCCCAGGAGGCGGATGCCCCAGCCCCCTGTCTGCCTCGGGGGCTCTCGGCAGCATCGGCCAGTCCCTGTTGGGAGTTGGTCCTGCAGGTGCCTCTGGCCCCGCTTTCTTTCTCGCCGCCTTCCTGACTCTCCCCGGGCCCAGGGTCAGGCTGCTCCGGTCACCCCTCTCCCCTGAGCCTCTGGACCTGAAGCCGAGGGCCGGTGCCCAGGCCCTCTGGCCCGGAAAGCACTGGGTTCGCTCTGCAAGGCTCACACTGAGGCCTTGCTCCCCCTGTTTCCATGGTTCCCGTTTCTGTGTCCAACTTCTGTTTTCGATTTGCAGGTTTTGCACTGCGGCCATTTCTTACGCTCTGTGTAAGTTTTCTTCCCAGTCGCGTGATGCCTGGCACAGCTGCTTGTCCCCGGGCCTCATTAAAAAGGTGGGTCTCCCCTACTAAACACGGGGCATGGCTGCCCTCCTGGGGTGCGGAGGGCACACGTGAATTCCTCCCTGGTGGGCTGTGCTCGCCCAGTGCCCCTGCCGACCCGGGCGGGAGGACGGCGTCACTCTGGAGGGCGGGTCCGACCTGTGGGTCAGACCAGCCGTTCAGCTGCGTGCGCCTCTGCACATGTGCGGGGCTGCTCACGGAGACGCCGTCCGTCCGTGCCCGGTCGCTGGTGCCCAGCACGCCCCACGGCGGGAGGCAAGGCCCTTGCGGGCGGCACGGGGCTGGGGGGCGTGTCTCCAGAGCCTCTCAGCAGACGCGTCGCCGTCCCTCTTCAGTTTCAGTTCGTCGTGCTCAGGTTGCTCTCCGAGGCCCGAGGGCCCCTCTCCGCGGAGGACCCCGCCCACCTTCCCTGGCGGCCCTCGTGCCTGCTCCCGGGCGACTGGCAGCGCGCCGCCCTCTGTCTGTGGAGGCAGAGGGCCTTCCAGGACCTGGTGAAGGAGGAGGCGTTTCGTGTAGGTCCCACTGCCCTTTCCCTCGCTCCTCACGCTCCTCACATCGTCCTCACTCAGACCGGGGGCCTGAGGACAGGGCGGCGGGCAGGTGGGCGCGCGGGCGTCACGGACACGGCTCTGATGGAAGCTGTTAGTGGGATCCTCGCAGACCCACAGGCAGGCGCAGGAAACCAGACAGACGGGTGTCTTCTGCCCTTGGTCAGTTGCCCCTGCAGTAACATTTTACAGAGATTTTTTTTGGTAAATTATTTTAAAAGCTTTTATGTATTTGTATTTAGAGAGAGGGGGAGGGAGGGAGAAAGAGAGGGAGAGAAACATCCACGGGTGGTCACTTCTAGCACCCCGCCCCCCTCAACTGGGGGACCTGGCCCACAACCCAGGCATATGCCCTGACTGGGAATTGAACCAGTGACCCTTTGGTTCGCAGGCTGGCGCTCAGTCCACTGAGCCACACTAGCCAGGGCGCAGAGATTTTTAAGAGTGGATAGAAGTGTGTTTTAAACATGTGCCAGGCTCCGATTTGGGGCCGGGCCGCCCCAAGCCCAGCGCCCAGGAGCCTCGGCCACTCCAGCCCGTGAGCTCGTGCTCCCCGTCTCCGTTTCCATAGCTTGTCGTTTCTTTCCTGGGTGCTTGCCTGTTCGTTTTGGTCTTTAGAGAGTAACGTTCCCGTTGTTCTATTTTAAAACTCTTTATTGTGGACCGTGTCCTTCATACACGAGGAGGCCAGGCAGGTGCCTCCCCCGCACCTCAGGGTGGCCGCCCCGCCCTGTGTCGCTGCAGCCCTGCTCCCGGTTCTGCCTCCCGGGGTCCTGAGCACGTGCCGCTGCGCGTCGCCCGGCTCTGGCCCTCGCTGCGGGAGCGTGCTGCACGCGTGTTTCTGTGACACGCTTTCTTACCAGCAGCGCTGGGCTCTGAAGTGAGTCCTGGTCGATACGTGCTCGGAGACCTTGAAAACCAGAAATAGGCTGCTGTGAGCGTGTGGCGCGTGCCGTCCCGGCAGGCCACTCTCTGGTTGCTCGCCCGGAGTGACCTCCCGGGAACGAGAAAGCGGCGCCATCCCCGTGCGGTGGCGCTGCACCCCGAGAGCTCGGCAGGTGCCCCGGCGAGACCGTGCGGACCAGCAGCGGGCTGCGGGCTGCGCCCAGAAGTGCCGCTTGTGCCCTGGCCGAGTGGCTCAGGCGGTTAGCGTGTCCCCCGCTACGCCAAGGTCGGGGGTGTGCCCCCCAGGCGGGCACGTGCAGGCGTCCACCCGTGCGGCGTCAGGTCAGTGCAGCGGCAGTGGTGGCACTCCCCCCTCGTCGGCTGGCTTCACGCTCCGAGGCCACGTGGGCAGCGGGTCAGTCCTTCCTGGGGGCCTGGGGCCGGCAGCGCAGTCCGGCAGCCGAGGTGGAGTGAGGCCGGCTGGGGGGCTCTTGGGTGACGTGGACCGCTGTGCTCTCTGGGCTCCCCCCTCGGGTGACACGCAGCTGGTCCTTCCCGCAGTTAACTTACAGAGACTGGGTGCAGCTGGAGCTGGAAGTTCGCCCTGAAGTGGATTCTCTTTCAGATACAGAAAGGTAAGTGCCTAAAGGGTCTGCCCTTCGAAATGTTACACAGCTTTCCACATGGTCTGAAAGTCTGAGTTTCCTCGTTAGATCCTTAATTTACTTTTTATTTCATTTTGTAATATTTATTTTTAGAGAGAGGGGGAAGAGAAGGAGAAACAGGGAGAGAAACATCAATGTGTGCTTGCCTCTCGTGCGCCCCCTCCTGGGGCCCCAACCTGGCCTGCAGCTGCCAGCACGTGCCCTGATTAGGAATCGAACCAGCGACCCTTGGGTTCGCAGGCTGGCGCTCAGTCCACTGAGCCACACCAGCCGGGGCTCTATCCTTAATTTAATGTTCAGGGTAACACATTACCCGTGAGCCCAATTTCATTTCTTTATTCAAGAGAAACCGAGCTCTTGTTCGCTGGACAACTTTTAGAATGTTCTAGCAGCTGGGGCATGCCTTGTAAATGACACCTGCCCATGTGGCACCTCGACCCCCAACTCCCCTGACTGGTCACTAGCCAACGGACCACACCGCTGGCACCTGTATGGGCCTGAGGACAAGCAGGTGGACAGTGGAGTAGAGGTGGGGCCACGCTCTGGCGGCACCAGGCAGGGCTGTGAGGGCAGGTGCCGGAGAAGGGGCAGTGGGGGCAGCCAGCACGTTCCCCAAGGTGGGGCCCGGTCCCGCCTCCACCTCTCCTGTGGGAAGGGCACACACAGCCCGTGGAGGAGGCCTCAGGGAGCGCCAGCCTCGAGGGGCCAGCGGCCAAAGTCTGAGGCCAGTTACCGAGACTGTTGGGCGGTCCAGCGTGCTGTTCTGGGTGTGCAGATGGGGTGCTGATAGACCCATGGGTTTGGGGGCACAGAGGTCAGGGTGGGCAAGGGCCAGCATCGGTGCGGCCTGCCCCCGTGCCCCGTGGGGTCAGAGCCCCTTCCCGCTCACACGCACCGTGATGCCGCCGTCCCCACTCCTGTCTTGTGACGTCAGTATCTGGCGGGACCTGGAGATAACGAGAAAAGGAGAAGTTTGTGGCAATGAGAAGAGCAAATAATGCTTTGTCCAAGGAGGCAGGTTCTTGCTTTCTCATGCGAGGCCCACCTTGGCCGCCCTGGGGGCTCTGCCCTTCCGCGCCTGCTCTCTTTCTGGGGGGAGGCCGGCGGCCATCCAGCTCCCCCTGAGCTCACTGTCTGTGACGCTGTGTGGGCCCCTCTCTCTCTTTCTGTCTCAATTACGAGAAGCCCTCAGCTGGGTCTGCGCAGGTCTGAGGCGGGCAGAGGCCGAGCTGGTCCCTCGGCCCCTGGTCCCTTGGCCCCTGGCCCCTCGGGCTCGGGTGGGAGTGTCCTCCAGTGGGAGTGTCCTCCAGTGGGAGTGTCCCGTGTGGGTTTGGCTGCTTCACAGACGGCGGTGTCAGGGGCTCTGCTGCGTTTGCAGTTCATCCTCACAGCTTCCTGGGGGCATCTGTCCCTGTCCCGACCCCTGTGCTGCGGGCCCGGGGCAGCCCGAGGCTCCCTGGGAGCACTTCCCCGCCTCTGTCCCCCAGCCCAGCGGGTGTGGGTGGCCCCTGAGGGGCTCCCCGCAGCCCCAGACCCCTGGTCCCACCCCCTCGATGCCGTGCTCCTCACGGGGGGCACACCTGGAGCCGTGGGAGCCCCTGCGGAGAGCCGCTCTCAGCACAGACCTGGGCTTTCCGTGCAGGCGGGACTTCCAGCAGTGGGCCATCCGCGAGCACTACCTGCCCACGCCCTCTGCCGCAGGGGGCTGCGGCGGAGACCTGGAGATGGCGTGCACCGTCCTCGTCAACGGGCTGATGGACTTCTGCCAAAGGTTAGGGGTGCTGATGCCAAAAAGCATCTTTCTTGTTCGAGATTTAATTACTCGTTTTTCGAGAGGGTGGAAGGAAGGGTAAGAGGGAGAGAAGCTTGGACGTGCGAGAGAAGCATCCGTGTGTGGTTGCCTCTCACGTGCCCCTGACCGGGGACCTGGCCTGCAACCCAGGCCTGTGCCCTGACTGGGAATCGAACCGGCGACCCTTTGGTTCGCGGGCCTGCACTCAGGCCACTGAGCCGCACCAGCCAGGACGCACTATTACTGGGACAGTCCCTGGCGTGTTCTCACCCCCCTCAGCCCGGTGTGTGTGTGTGGCCCGCAGCACAGCTGCACTTGCATTCTGGCGGCGAGTCCGAGTCCCCCCAGAGCGAAGGCATCTTCCCGAGCCAGGCCCCCTTGGGTGCGCTCGCCTGTGGCAGCGACCGTGTCTCTGCCGTGTCACCTGGACCTCAGGGTCGGCGGGTGTGGACAGGGGAGCACACGTGCTCGCAGGCGGTGTGCTCTGGGGGTCCCCACCCGAGGTGCAGGGAGCGGTGACCGGTGCCCGGGGCCGGGGGGTCCCTGTGCTGTCCAGGCTGTGCGGGGGTGCTCCCGTCAACAGGCCTGTTTCTGTCCTTCACCTCACGGTTGCTGCGGGAGGGGGTGAGGCCGCGAGTCCCAGCCCCGTGTTTGTCTTGGGTGACACGCCCCGTCACTGCACCTGCAGGGACGGAGCCCTGTGCTGACACGACGCAGGACGCACGCCCTTTTTCCCGCTGCCCCCTGTCCTCCCGAGGGTCTGTCCACACACGGCCCAGCTCTCCTCACACCCTTGCGGCACCGCAGGCGAGCTCCTGCCGGCGCACCTGGCCGCAGCTTTCCCGTGGGCTCTCGGGGTCAGAGGTCGGCTCGGGAGGTGGGGCGCACCTGCTGAATGGACGGTTCGTGGGTATAGGATTCCAGTCCGTGGCCTCTGTGTCTCGCTCACTCGGGACCGTGTTTCTAGGGCCCTCGTGCCGTGGCGTCTGTCGGAACTTCCCGTGGGAGGGTGGACCACGCCTCCTTCAGCCATCATTGGTTGACAGACGTTTGAGTCTTCACTGCTTGGCCTTTGTGCGTGATGCTGCTGGAACGCTGGTGTGCGGGTCTCGTGGGACCCTGTGCCGTGCCCTCCTTGGGCACAGCAACGCCGTTCCACACTCAGAGCTGGACTCTCGGAGGGGCTGGACTCTCGGAGGGGCTGCCGGGCTGTTCTCCAGGCTTGCGCCACTGCACGCTCCCACCAGCAGGGGGAGGTGTTCTGGCGTCCACGCATCACCTCCAGCCCTGCGGTGACCTGCCTTTTCGGTGATGTTTGTCCCGGTGAGTGTGCAGCGGTATGTTTCCTCGTGGCTTTAATTCCTCTTCCTTGATGGCTTAATGACATCGTCACAACTTTTCCTGTTTGTTAACTGCTCATGTGTCTTCTTTGGAGAAACGGCTGTTCAGATCCTTTGCCCGTTTCAAAACAGGGTCATTTGTTGTGTTGGGTGTTCAGAGTCCCTTAGGACTCCGGATGCCAGACCCTCAGCCAGGAACGGGAGCTGCACGCGCTTCCTCCCGGGCTGCCGAGTGCGTCGGTGCACAGCTCACGTGCCCGGAGCTTCAGGTCCTGTGTTCAGGCCTTCCGTCCACTGCAGCTAATTTTTGTGCGTGGTGTGTGCTCGGGACCGCTCCGTTCCACACGCGGGTGTCCAGCCCCTCCCCCACGGAGAGGCCCTGGAGCCCCGGCCGAGGCTGCCTGCGTGGAGGGGCTCCGCTCCGCCCCTGCAGCCCCTCCCTGTCCTCCTGTCTGGTCGCCATGGTTTGGGGCTGAGTTTTCAGCTGGCAAATGTGAGTCGTCCGACTTGTTTTAAAAGATCTTATTTATTTATTTTTAGAGAGAAGAGGCGGGAGAAGGGAGGGAGAGAAACGTCAATGTGCGCTTGCCTCTCATGTCCCCAGCTGGGGACCTGGCCCGCAACCCAGGCTTGCGCCGTGACTGGGAATCGAACCGGCGACCCTTTGGCCCGCAGGCTGGCGCTCAATCCATGAGCCACACCAGCCAGAGCTTTATTTGATTGTTTATTATTCTTTGCTGGTGCACAGAGGTACAACTCATTTTTCTATATATCCATTTTCTATTCTGCAACTTCACAAACTTTTAGTTGCTGTTTCTTGTGGATTCCTTTGGATTCTTGTGAACAGAGATGGCCTTTGCATCTGGGTGTCTTTTGTCCCTCTTTCTGGGTGAGCCGTCCTGGCTAGAACTGCCCTGTAGTTCATGGGAGCAGCGAGAGGGGACATCTTCGTCTTGCCCCTGACCTCAGGAGGAGAGTGTCCGGTGTTCACCGCCGTGTGAGCTTAGCTGTGTGTTTGTCACCACTGTCCTCAGCCCCGATGGGACAAGAGGGACGGAGGGACCCTTCTCTCCGCTTGTTCGGGGCGTTTAGTCCCAGAAAGGGCACCGAATCCTGCCTGCTGCTTTGTCTGTGTCTGCTGAGATCGTCGGGTAGTTTTGGCTCTTCTGTCGATGTGTGCGTTGTATTCATTGGTTTCTGGATGTCGGGCCGACCTTGCATTCTTGGGATGAGTCCCAGTGGATCGTGGGACGTAGCTGTTTTGCACGTTGCTGGCGTTTTGTTGTAGCTGGTTTGCTGTTTGTCGGTTACTGCGGCTACATGCCTCTCTGGAGGCAGGAGAAGCGGGAGGTCCACAGTCAGGAGATGCTCAGGGGGCTTTTGCTTTTGTTTTGTTTCAGTTCAAGGAGTTACGACCACTCAGAAAATTCTGATTTGGTTCTTGGTGGCTACACTGGAAATCGAGATATTTTTTCAAGATTGCAGGTGAGTCGGAAGATGCAAAACTTGGTGTGTTCACTGCGTGAAGCTGCCTGTTAGTGAAGGGTCTAGTGTGAGTGTCCGTAGTGGGTCCTACGGCAGCGGAGCAGAATGGGAACCCCCCCTCCATGCGCCGTGGCCCCGGCCCCGAGCTCCAGGACCTCTGTGGGTGTGCCCAGTGACCGCCGTGGAGATGCAGAGACCGACGCCACGGTACGGCACTCACCTCCAGGCTCCGGGACGTCTGTGAAAACAGACAACTGAGAAAACACCACTTTGGTGATGAAACTGTTGCCGCCCCACGACTTTCCTTGTCACTCGGCTGCTCCCCTGGGATCTTGGGCCCTGAGAAGTGATGCGAGTGGCTCCGCGCGGAGAGTCACGGGGTCCCCCGGGCAGAGACCCCGGGGAGCCCTGCTGCCCCCACGTCCACGCGGGTGCGGGGCGCCTGCCATGGAGTGCACAGCAGCCCTGTTCCGTGGGGTTCTGTGCGGGGGCTCCGTGCCCCCGGCAGCCCCCCCGCTGCCCCCCAGAGTGCCCGGGCGTGGGGCGTGTGGGAGCGGAGGGACACGAGAGAGGCTGTGGCCGGGAGCACCGGGGGAGTTCGCTCACAAGTGAGTGAAAGTCCCACGAGAGGGGGACCCCAGGCCCCGGCCCCTCGTCTGGAGCTCTTGTCCCCCACGTCCGCCGTGGTGGGTGTGGGAGGACGAGTGACTGGGCGGGGGCGGGGGGGGCGGCAGGTGCAGCCGGGGCGCCTGTGACGGTGGGGCAAGGGCCGTGCTTCGAGCGAGCGTGCAGCTGCTCCTCTGCAGCCCCTGAGCGTGTCGGGGAGACTGGGCGTGTGCACCCACACACTGGGTGTGCCACGGAGGAACGCCAGCTGCGGGCGAATCTGGGTACAGGTGTTCTTTGGGCTATTCTTGATTTTTATTTTTTTTTACTGTTCTTATTTTTGAAAAATTCTGTAACTGTCTAATTTCAAGTAAAAAGGCATGTCCCACTTACTCTCCGAGTCCTGTGGAGACGTCTCTCCCACGCCCGCGTCAGGCTCCTGAGTGGGGCAGACGGGAAGCCCCAGGGACTTCCTGCCTTTGCGTTGGGGACAGAGAAGCGCGGGAAGCAGAGGTGAGAGTGCAGGAGGTCTCAGCCTTGCTCTCTTCCAGGAGATGGCTGCTGACCTGGAGCAGGGCCCGGCCGCGCCCCAAGGCCGCACCACCTCTGGGGGACACGTCCTCTTCCAGGTGTTCCGCAGCCGGCTCCAGGCTCTGGTGGGCGGGCAGGACCTGGCCTCCCGCCTTCAGAGGCAGCAGGAGCTGCTCCTGTGCAAACGGTAACAGCTCCCGAGTCTGTCGCCCGTCTCGGTGCTCCCTGCCCCCAGCCTGTGCCGGCATCTTGTCCCTGGGGTCCCCGGAGAGCAGGGCCTGAGGGGTGAGAAGCCCTCGGGAGCAAAGGCTTCCCGCCCCGACGCAGGGTCCCTCTGCGGAGGGGCGCGCCGGAAAGCACGCAGGTCACAGGAGGGAAGGCCGTAGAGCTCACCGAGGCTGCGTCCACAGCCTCGGGGTGCTGGGTCTCCCAGGGGCAGAGCAGCTCCGTCACACGGGCACCCCTGGTGCTGAGGCAGCTGAGGCCGTGGCTTTGGGGCCCCCGTTGGAGTGTCTGCCGTGGGGTCCAGGCGCCCGGCACAGCCGCAGTCTGGGGACCGTGGGGCCCGCAGACCGGCACGCTGTGGTCCTGAAGGCGAGCCGGGGGAGTCCCTGCGGCCCCGGGATCTGAGTTCTGCAGAAGCAGAGTCAGGCCGAGCCTCCACCCTGACGCGCCGCCTCCTCTCCCAGGATCCTCCTGGGCCTCCCCGCGTCTGTCCTCATTGGCAGCCCCCGGGGGGAGCCGCCGGCCACCCCCGACTGCACGGAGTTCTTCCAGTTGGTCAACTCTGAGCTGGTAGGTGGTTGAGCTCACGAGAGCATCTGTAGTCACTGAGCTCCTTGCCCCGGGGCCGGCCCTGAGCCCGTGGGTGTGCAGCCCTCCTCGCCCTGGGGCTCGCTGCCTCCTCCGCAGAGCTGTCCTTGGCCGCGGGGGTGGGGCCCGTGAAGCGCAGACCACTTGCTCACGGTGCACTTCTCTCTTTCCTGTGCTGCCTCTGGGGGATGCTGTGACCCCGCTGTTGCCCACCAGGTGGCACTGTTTCCTTCCATTTTGCAGGAGGCTCAGTGTCAGGGGCTCTGATCCTACCAGGTGGGGAAAGGTGATGAGTAAACGTGCCCTCTGCACACCTTTCAGAAAAGCACAGATGTGACCAGAGGTTGGACTGAGGTCCTGTTGAGTCACACAAGCCGTTCTCCTGCCTCCCCGGGTGCCTGGGGCCCCCACGTCAGCACCATCATGGGTGGGCGGGGGGCCCTGCTGCTCGGAGCGGCCGCGGGAGAGGCAGTGGGCGGGGAGGGTCCGGGCAGTGCATGGGGGCCGCCTGCCAGGGGCTCTCCCCCTGCGCGTGGCTCCTCTCACTGGCCCGTGCTGTCTGCAGAGAAACTTGTCCCGCGGAGGTGCCCTGACGCATGACATCACCGCCCACTTCTTCAGGGTAACTCCCTTTCCCTCCGCCCCCAGCCTGGCCCGCACAGACCACCGGGGCGGGCCCTCCTGTCTGGTGCTGCTGGGAAGCCACGGGGTCTTTCAGGGCCGGGGTTCACGTGCAAACCGCTGAGCTGGTGGCGCCTTCCCTCCTGCAGGCGCTCCTCCACGCCTGCTCGCGAAGCAGAGACCCCTCCCTGGCAGCAGACCTGGCCCTGACCGCCTGCCAGACCGAGTGCCCCCTGGTCCTGGCCTCTGCCCTGGTAGGCCCAGCCGTCTTCCCGGGGCACTGTCTGTTTCCCACTGAAACCTCATCCCCGTTACTGTGACTCGAGAGAAACAGCTTGGGGAGAAGTGAGGAGAACGGGTCAGAGCGCAGGTGGGGTGACCGGTTTCCCTGACCGCGCCCCGAGCGGCCTCAGCAGCAACCCTGGGAGGGAGGGAGGGAGGGGGGAGGGGGGAGGGGGAGGGAGGGAGGGAGGGGCAGGCCGTCTGTGCTGCGTCTGCATCTGTTCGGTCCCACCCGCTGAGGCTGGGCGTTGGCGGCCGTGCTGTCCCTTGGGTGCACGTTCGTGTTCGCCGCCTCTGCCGTCTGGCTGCCCTCGTAGCCCAGGTTGCTCAGCCACTGCCAGCCGGCCTTGGTGGGACCTTGGGTGCCTTTGACTTTTTCAGCACCCTGACCACACATGGCTTTCCCACTCCCTTCTCCGTCTCGCTGGGACTCCAGCTCCTTCACAGGCTGGTGGTAGCACTTCACCTGCAGCGTAGCGGGTGGCCTGTTCCGTGTTTCAAACACCAGCTCTCCCTGGGGTGTCAGGGGCCGGGCCAAGCTCTTGGGCAGTGGGGCACCTCCTCAAGTAAGGCCTCTGGACTCCAAGCACTGCGCCGTCCTTACACGGGTGCACGGGGCCCTGCCCTTGACCTAATGAAGTGTTAGGTCAGTGTGAGCCAGGCTAGGGGTGTCAGTCAGAGGGGCTGGATGTCTCTTGCCCCAACCTCAGTGGTCACAGAACAGCCACCCGCCCAGACCTGTTGACCTGTGACCTTTCCTCTTGGCAGCTGTGGTGGCCACGCCTGGAGCCCGAGCTCCACTGTCAGTGGAGGCGCTTCCAGATCCCACTGCCCCGAGAGCTGCAGAGGCTGCGTGAGGCCTGGCAGTTTGCCAGCAAGTAGGTGCTGGCACTGGGACCCAGGAGGAAAGCTCGGGTGTTTTCTAGGGCCCGACTGGGTCATCTCCTGGATACCTTGGGGTGCTTGAGGGGGCCTTGAGTGCAGGAGCCACTGGGCCCCTGAGAGGGAAGCAGCAGCTCTGAGCCACCATGTCCGAGTGAGAAGTTCCAGAACATTCGGGAGAGACTGACCCCAGCCTGAGTGGCTAACTAGATTCAGTTCCCAGGGCTGGGCCAGTGACCAGAGTTAACCCCCCTCCCAGGACTGGTGGGTGGATGGCCTCCAGGATCCTGCTGGACGTGGGGGTGCTCTGGGGTCATCCGAAGGGATCGGGCGTTCCCACCCAGCCTCCCAACAGGCTTGGGTTTTTGTCTCTGATGCGCCCCTGTGTCTCCCTGCAGGGTCGGGGTGCTCAGATTGTGCTCAGAAAACCAAGGGAGCAAGTCCCACCCATCAGCCTAATTCTACAGAGGAGATAAAGTTTCTTAAACCCTTGCCTTCCATTCCATCATTTGTCTCCAGCCCGTCTCCAACCCACTGGAGAACCTTTCTGTGCAGCCCCGCAGTTAGAGCAGACGCAGGCTGGGACGCGGGGCCTCCTCCTGTCCCAGGACCTCCCTCCAGAGACCAGGCCACTGGGGCGAGGGGCCTGTCAGACCCTGCTGCCCACCGTGTTCAGGGCACGGAGGCAAGCTGGCAGCAGAAACAGCTCTGAGCCCAGGCAGGACGAGCCGTGACAGGGTGGGGCTCCGCCGACTCCGTGTCTGCTGACTGAGCCCCTCGCCGCTCGCCCACCTGGGTGTCCGGTGGCAGCTCGGGCCCCAGGCTCCTGGAATGACACCCATCTCTCTTCCAGCTTCCTGTCCTCCGACACAGAGCCCCCCGACACCGTGCTGCCTGCTGGGGGCCCCGCCTGGGTCTCTGCGGCTGCGCTGCACTTTGCGATCCAACGAGCGGGGCAGGCGAGCCCACGGCGAGGCCTGGAGAGGCTGCGCGGCCCCCCGGAGGAGGCGAGTGCAGCTCTGCCCCCGCGCCCGCCCAGCGCGCTCCTGTCCGGGGTCCTGGTCGTGGTGCTTCTCAGCACTTGCCGCACAGACGGAGCTTTTCCAAGGACAGACAGGAAGTTTGGTGATGCTGTCACTTTATTTGGAAGTAAAAGTTACTGGGTTTAGGGTTCAATAAGACTTTGACTCTCAAGTTCATTGTTTTCAGAGAACATCTTACACTTCAATTTGGAAGTGTTTTCACTGTCTTTTTCCCACCCTCCCCACCACCCAGGGCAGGGCAGTGAGCTGTCAGTCTCTGCAGCCGTGGTTAGCTGGGCCGGGCAGGGAGACAGGGCAGGCGGAGGGAAAGGTCCCCGGGGGAAGCCGTGGGGCCCGTCTGGACTCTGTGCCCAGGGTGCCCGCCCGGTCAGAGGCCCACCAGGGTCCACCTGTCAGCTCAGCATGTGCCCACCTGCCTGGCAAATAAATTGTGAGCCAGAGTATTTTTGGTAATTACAATTTAAAGCAAAAATCCCACAAACAAGATTCTTCCGATTGTCTGCAGGTCATTTTTATCGGAAGGTGTTTGGCTCCAAAGCCCCTGGGCCCGGTGTGCTGAGGGCACAGGGTGCACCCCCGGGGTGGGGGAGACGGGGCGAGCCTGGCAGTGTGCGTCAGGGCCTCACGGATGCTGCCGGGCAGGGGGCTGGGGAGCGAGGCCGAGCTGCCTGCTGCGGGGCAGCTCCCACACCCGGGAGACCAGGCTGGAGACCAGAATGAAAAGGGCCCAGTCAGTGATAACTGCGCGGACGCAAGTTCTCCGTTCAAACACGATGGGGAGTTTTTCCTTCTGCGGCGACCCAGACCCACTGAGAGGGGAGGGTGGAGCCCGGGGCCGGTTCCTGGAGCAGGGGCGGCCGCCCTGTGGGGCAGCAGGCGCTGCGCGTGGTGAGCGGCCCTGTCTCTGTTTGCAGCTGCTGCTGGTCCTGCTCTTCCTTTCCTCGCTGGGCCTGCTGTCGTCGAGTCTGACCCCCCAGGTACGTCACCCCGAGGCTGCGGGGCCCTCTCCCCTAGGGTGCTTGGGACTGCAGGTCCCCAGGTGCCTCCAGACAGGTTCCTGAGCCAGGAGCAGGCGGTCAGGAGCCTTCCCCGGGTTCCTCAGGAGCAGTGCTCACTGAAGTGGGGAGCCTTCGGCCACGGGCCTTCGTTTTCCTGTGTTACTTCAGAACTTGGGTGCCCACAGTCCCGCTGTCAGCGGCCCTGGGGAGATGCTCTGTGGGTTGTCGCCATGTCAGGCCCCCTCCTGTGACTAGGGCGGTCCCTCCGCCCCACACGTGCGCAGCTCGCGGCCCAGGGAGCGCTGTCCCGCCTGCAGACGCTGTGCCTGAGTCCTCCCTCCGCTGCCCACAGGCTGCCGGCTGCCCAGCAGCTCTGGACGTTTGTGCCGAGGTCCTGGGGTGTCTGGAGAAGAGGAAGGTGTCCTGGCTGCCACTCTTTCAGTTGACAGACACTGGTAAGGAGTCTGCTGAGACCTGATAGCAAGTGGGTGGCCTTTGTCTAGTCACCAGCCATCAGGGTCAGAGTGTGACCCCTGACATCCGAGTCTTTCTTTTCAGAAGCAACTTTCAAATGTTTACCTTCTTGTAAAGCACGCAAGCCTAAGTGTTGGTCAGGACAAACAGTGCACACTCGTCGAAACAAGAGGGTTTGGTGGGGGACCAGGGACCCCAGGTGTCACAGGGCGGTGTCGTGGGGCCCACCTGCCTGGCCCCACAGGCATGGGGAGTCCTCTGAAGACAGCAGCCCCAGGTGAGGCGTCCAGCCTGACTGAGCCCCTTGGGTTGCAGCCACCGGCCTGGGGTGTGTCCTCCTCCGCCTGGCCCCGGACCAGCACATCAGGCTGCTGCCCGTCGCCTTCTACAGGTCAGTCCTTGTGGCTCCGACGAGGCCCCATGGGCCTGCACGGGGCTGTGCCCAGGTGCTGGGGGTCCCCTCCAGACGTGAGGGTGCCTCTACCTCCCTGGACTGCCCGCGCTCACCTCCAGGAGGTGGTGTCACCTGACATACAGCCTCCCCTTCAGCCTCCTCTCCTGCTGTGACGAAGACGCCCTCATTCAGGACGCCGGCTTCCTGCACGTTGCCGTGGACATGTACCTGAAGCTGCTCCGCCTCTTCGTAGCCGGGGAGACGGGTGCACTCTCGAGCTCAGCCAGGAGGAGCCAGGAGCTCCAGGACCAGGCAGGTGCAAGTGCTGGCTGTGTCCAGGCAGAGGGCACGGCCCATAGGCCCACGGGTCAGCTCTCCGGGGCCTGAGGCTGGGCCAGCCCCTCCCAGCCTGTGCACGGGCTCTGTGACCGGGGCTCTGCCTGTCCCCTCTGTAGGGGGACCCTGTTGGCCTGGTGACAAGAGCTCGGCTTTTCCTGCTGCGGTCAGTGCCTCGGTGTCCCACACAGAGCTTCTCACACATGGCGGAGGTAACACCCAGAGGCTCACCTTGCTGTTTTCTTAATGTTTATTGATTTTGGAGAAAGAGGAGCGGGGAAGAGAACCATTCATTTGTTGTTCCACCTATTTATGCATCATTGGTGGTTTGTGTGCTCTGACTGGGGATCGAACCTGCAGCCCTGGTGCATCAGGACGACAGTCTAACCCACTGGGCTCCCTGCCAGGGCACCGTGGTGTTCGTTCTTAAACCCAGATCACTGTGTGGGCCTGAGCACGCGGGGATCTGACACGGGGCCTGGTGACTGTGGTCACCAGCTTCCGGCTCCCTGTGCCTGGGGGTTCGGTCTGTGTCGCACTGACCAGGGTTTCCTTGCAGCTGCTGGCCTCGCACGGGGGCTGCGACCCGGAGCTGAGTGCCGCCCTTCTGAGCAGGCGGCAGGCCACGCCCGACGCGGGCCCCGCCCAGGAGCCCCGCCTCTCCTGACTGGACTGGACGCGCAGCACGCCTCTGGAAATAATTTACTGCGAGCGTGACGTGGAGCTCTTGCCACACTAAGGAGTGGGCTACAGATCTCCCGATTGCTTTGGTGGGGAACAGAAACCGACTATTTAAAACTTGCATCTGGCCCCAAGTCAACGTAGGGAAATAAACTGCTGGTCCCAGAGTGGACACGAAGGCGACCTGGGCCTCGCACCAAGCCCCCCACGTCCCAGCACAGGGCTGGGGCTCAGCACGGGGCACTCAGGGCAAGCAAGGCGGTGCCATCGGGTCGCATGGGAGGAACTGTGGGAGTCGTCCTGTGACCCCATCCACCACCTGGCGAGTTCAAGTGCACCCTCAGGTGGGCTCAGGCTTCACGGCCTGGCCCTCTGTGGCCCCGGGCGGCGGCTCCAGGGGCAGGGCCTTGTCCTGGGTCTGGGTCAGAGGGTGCACCATGGACATGTGCACGTTGAGGTTGTGTGCCTTCTCGAACCGCCGGCCACACTGGTCACAGGCGAAGTCCAGCTCCGTCTCAGCCTTGTGTTTGGTCATGTGGTACTTGAGGGACGCCCGCTGCCGGCACTGGAAGCCACAGACTTCACACCTGGGGAGGAGAGGAGGTTAGCAAGGGTGCGGGTGCCAGTGTGGCCAGGAGGGGGCGCCGGCCCACACTTACTGCAGAGGCTTGGCTCCCGAGTGCCGCATCTGGTGGACCAGGAGGTGCTTCCGCTGCTTGAAGGTCTGTCCACACTCGTCACAGATGTAGTTCCGCACCTCTGGGGAGCAACAGGTGAGCGCAGGCCCCGGGGAGGCCCGCCCGCTCGGGCTTCCTGCACTCGGTGCCAAAGCAGGGGACCCCGCCGGCCTCCTTTCACCAGAGACACTTCTGACACCATTAGCCACGGCTGGGGCTGCCCCTGAGGCCTCTGGGTAGCTGAAGCCTGAGTGTTCAAAGGTCCCCTGACTCAGACTTGAGCACCCTGGGGAGCTACTGTGCTGGGCCTGACGTGCACAAGAACCCTCCGTGCCAACCCCACAGGGAAGGAGGGTCCCTGGGAGGCCAGCAACAGTGGGTGGCTCTGAGTGAAGCAACTCAGTCACATGGGACCTCTGTGCAGAAATCTGCCCTGTGAGGCGGCGGCGCTGATTCAGGGACTGCCTTCCGGACAGGGGCAGCTATGGGGCAATCGTGTGGGTCGTGTGTTTCCGGACACGTGGGTTGTGTGGTCACACCAGTGAGGACGGAACCGTGACACTGGTGTCGTGTGAGCCCAGGCTGGAGCACAGCGGAGCAGCGGCCCTCGAGGGTGGGCCGTGTCTCGGGGACACTCACGGCCTCCCTGCACTTCCCTTTCCCACCATTTCCGTAGTGTGGGCTTCCTCTTAGATCCCCAAAGCACGTCACTTAAAAATTTGTTTAAAAATCCACCACAATAAACGGAAAGGCCCTGGGATTTCTTTGCTTATTCCACACTCGGACCAGCTAAGCTGACCTGCCGACACTGCAGCCCAAGGGTGTGGGCACCCTCGGGGCTGTTCCCGGGGGCGGGGCCGGGCACACACCTGTGTGGATGAGCTTCACGTGCCGCTGCAGGTAGCGGTCGATCATGAACACCTTGTTGCAGCCAGGGTGGGGGCAGGGCCTCTCTCGGACCTCCTCATGGTGCTCTTTAATGTGCTTCTGCGGGGACGGTGCGGCCCTGAGCGCTGGGCTCCCCGTGACAGCAACTCGCCCATCAGGCAGCACTTGCCCCTCCCACAGGCCCTGCCCAGCACCCTTGAAGGAACACATCTGGCCATTCCGCACTCATGGGTGCTTTCCCAAGTGCAGCAAGTAGCACATCCTCCCCCACGGAGCACAGCAACGGTGGGGGCTGCTGTGTGCCTCCATTTCTCCAGGCTCACGGGCACCCTTGGGTGGGTCTGCCCCGGCACTCCCCCCAGGCCCCCGCCCTGACTCCAGCAGCGCCCGCCTCACCTTCATGCCGTCAGCCCCTCGGTACACGGCTGTGCAGCCCTGGTACGGGCACTTGTAGATGGTGGGCAGCTCCTCCCTGCAACAGAGAGCACCCTGGAGCTGCCGCCCTGGCCGCGCCCCCGCAGGGCAGCCCCCACCGGCCTCACCTCTCACAGCGCAGCTTGTTCTTCCAGCCTGGCTTCGGTCCAGGCTTCTTTCGGATTTTTGGTTCTTCAGGCTTCTTGGCTTCTTTGCTTCCGTTCTTCTTCCCAGGCACCCTGGGGAGAGAAGGGCCATCGGATGCACCGGCGTGTGGGACCTCTGTGCAGCAGCGTTCTTACTCCCCCCACACTCCCTCTCCAGCGTGAGAGGCCGGGCTTCCTGCAGCCTCCAAGGGTGACCTGCGTCGGCCTCTGTGCTCCCCGGGGGCCCGGGGGCGGACGTGAGCCACCACGGCCGGGACAGCTCAGGAGGCAGAGGCCTGGTGCTGCCACCTCAGGAGGGAAGCCCACGGCCACTGTGGGAGTGGGTCTTTTCTAAGCACCAGAACCGCACACTCTGTGCCCTGGCCGAGAGGCTCGGCTGATTAAAGCATCATCCTGACACATCAAAGGTGTGGGTTCAACCCGTCAGGGCGCATCTAAGAAACCACCAATGAAGGCGTTCCATCAGTAAGTGGGACAGCAAACTGACGCTCCTCTCTTGTTCTAAAGATCTACGTAAAGAAACACTTCGCAAAGCTTTAGGCATGGGTCTCTCCACCAAAACAACCACGGAGTTAGAAAAACAGATTAGAATCGACAACTATGGGACCCTGATGGGACGTCCTTATGGGGGAAATGCTGCCTCTCCAAGTGCCCACCTGCCACCACCCCCCTTCTCAGCCCTGCTGCAGGGCCAGGGCGGGCGGCAGGGACCCTGTCCTCCAGCAATGTGGGGACCGCTGGGTGCAGCGACGCCCTCCTGCAGTGTCTATCGAGGGGAGACGTGCACCCTCGTTTTCCTTTTTGGACCCCAGACATTTAAGGAACTCTCGTCAGAAACAGAAGGGAGCTTTTGGGGCCACATGGGACAAGCGCCAGGACAGCTGACACCATCCTCAGCAGTTAGAGACTGACCCCTCCCCTCCGAGGTCAGGAACAAGAAATCGGTCCTGGACATCCTAGCCGGAGAAATCACACTGGGACCCAAGCAAGAGCCATCGACATTAGAAAGGAAGGAAGTTACCTCTATTCACAGATGTCATGACCTAACATGCAATAAACCCTAAAGAATTCACATACAAAATAAAAATTCGGCAGAGTTGCAAGGTATAAAATCAAACACCTGTCCAATTTCTGTATGCTAATACTGAAAAAAATTAAGAAAACCCATTTGCAATCTCATCCAAGAGAATAAATTACCTTGGAATAAACTTAACCAAGGAGGTGGAAAGACGTGGACAGTGAAAACTACGAAACAGTGATGAACAAACGAAAGACCTAAGTAGGTGGAAAGACACCCATGTTCACGGGCTGGAGGCTGACGCTGTTCAGAGGGCAATGCTTCCCCCAAATGGATCTCCAAACCCAATCCCCATCAAAATCCCAATGGTGTTTTTGGCAAAAAGGGAGAGAGGAGCAGAAAGCATCCTAAATTTCACACTGAATTTCAAGGGATGCTGAATAGCCAAACAATTTAGAAAACAATGCTGGAGGACTCACTTCCCGACTGCAAACTTTACTGCAAAGCCACAATAATGAAAGCTGGGGCACTGGGAGGGAGACAGACGGTGCAGACCAGCTGGACGGTTTTCCGCAAGGTGCCGGAAACCATCCACATGCAGAACGACGTCAGGCCCCCGACACACACCACGCGCAAAAATCAGCCTCAGTGGAGACCACAGGCCCGGACCTAAGAGCTACAACCACAACGCGCTCAGGAGGAGGCAGGGACACGTCCTCCCGGGGCCACTGGGCCTGGCAGAGGTTTCCTGGCTGTGACACAGAACACAGGCACTGGGAGTGAGAAACAGGTGAGCCCGCCTTCACAACGACCCGTTCTGTGCGCCGGACAGCACGACCGAGAGCACGAAAGAGAGAAGCCACCGAACAGGACAAGCTGCCCGACGACCCCCCGGCACAGAGACGCCCGGTGGAAGTACGGGCACAGGCCTCGAACAGACGCCCCCCCGAAGAAACGGCACGCGTAAAGAAGCTCAACACCATTAACCCTTAGAGAAATGCAAATCAAAAGGACAAGATACTACTTCCCACCCATTAGCACGACTATTTAAAAAAAAAATAGCAGCGTTCCCTGGACGTGGAGAAAATGGACCCCTGGGCACTGCTGGCGGGAATATGGAAGGTGCAGCTGCCGTGGGGAACCGAGGCAGCTCCGCAGACAGTTGAACGTGGACTCAGCACACGACCCGGCACCCGCCTCCTGGGGACGTGCCCGCAGAATCCCAGACGGGCCGAGACAGACAGCCGGGTACCAATGTTCGGGGCACTAGTCACAGCATTAACCAAAAGGCACAAACGACCCACCGTGGCAGGTGGGTGGGTCGACCAAACGTGGGCTACCCCTGCGACGGAGCCGCATTTCCAGCCCTTTTCACCTCGTGGCACACATGAGCTAATCAGATTCTGCCGCACGCCAAAAAACACAGTGCTGCCAAACTGACAAAAAGGGAAAAGGCATGATCTTGACTCACGAATGCCAGACAGCTGTTGTTGCGTTGGCTGTTGTCGTTTTTTAAAGTTGACAGTCTGAGGGAGAAGACGTCAGTGCCCCTGACTAAATAGCCAGGTGTCACACGTTTTAAAAATCCTTGTGGCACACTGGTTGTGCCGTGGCGCACACTCTTTGAAAACCACTGTCAGAGGACCCTTCGGCCACAGGAAGGCATCCGGTGCTCACACAGGCCACAACGCGGCGAATCTCAAAACCGTGGTGCCGAGTGACTGGCAAGAAGCCGGTCACGAAAGGACAAATACTATGTACGTCTGCCTCCATGAAGTCCCTCAGACGGGCACCCAGAGCAGAGGCTGTCCGGGCTGGGGGGTGGGGTGGGGGCGGGGA